GCGTTTGTGAACCGCCTTATAGAAAACAAAAAACAAGAGGGTGCGTGTGCAAGTAAATACATGAGAAATCAAGATGACGCAGTACGCACAACTGTAATTGCTGCACAGAACGAAGAAATGGCGCCAAATTGGGATGAACATCGAGGTGTAGAAGGAACGGCATGAAGAGCAAGCAAACTGAAACTTCCGACTACCTCGATCACCATAGCGAGCCGCTATAAGAACCCATCGGTGTTAAACTGTCAAGCATGCTGGAAGACTTCTGTTTTTGAGCCGGAAGGAGGCTTGAGGAGGCCACGAAATCTGCACAAACCTGCCAAAAACATGGGTTTCTCCCTGCCCTTACCTGGTCAGTCACATAAATCAAAGTATACTCATATGCATAGTTGGTGTCTTTTATCCCGGACACAAGATTTTGTAGCTGAAATAGGATTCGCCATTTCGTAACGTCATTAAAATGGTGGAATAAGCCACAAAAAACAGGCATACAGTTTGCCCAAGCAGAAACATGCACCACTCTGGTACTTTTCGTGGCTTGTTTGATCTGCTTTGGTCTGAACTCTAGGCTTTCATCATGGGCATACGGGTGTGCCTGTTCACTGAAAACACTGAAAAACAGTAGTTGAGCGACTTACAAGAGAACTCAAGCAGTGGAAGACCGAAAACAAGTGAGTGAACCACCCGGGGGATACAATGACTTCTGAAACTTTTTCCAAGTTAGCTAATTCTTGTTAGCTTCACACGTGCTGGTTGATCGACATTTGGCTTTAAGAATGAATGCTTGACAGAATTTACGGGGCAACTTGAAAGTTGAAGAGGAGAAGAAGCGCTCTTCTCAAGAACCGACAAAATCACACCATTGTCTATGCATCCGTCAGGTTCAGGCTTAAATTCTTCTACCGCCTCGGGGAATATCACAACTGGACAAGCGGATGATGTTCTAGAAACATCCTTCTGGAAACGACTGAGAGGCCAACGTTGCACCCATCTAATACGGAGACACCATCCTTCAGTTTATTTTCTGCGCACTCATGGGCGCTCTAGACTAGCTGTGCTCAAACATAAAGGTAGGAAAAAATTATAAAAAACCAGGGCAAAGCACTGTATTGGAAAACATGTGGTTGCGAAGACAAACTGCGAGTGCATGTGGCAGTAGTGAAGCTTTTTTCGCTTGACGACACATGGTTGGATGCCTTCCGTGTGCTGGTGATCACGGCATTACGCCAGTGACTTATGGGGGACAGCTCAGACGAAGGCTTATAGCTTGTGACCATCGTCGGCCTTGAGTTTTTGAGAACTTCCAGTCCCCCTGTTGATGGTTTGACCAAAAAGGCTAAGCATTCAATTCAGTCAGCAGAAATTAAGTAACTATTCGGGGTCAAACATTTAGAGCAAACGTCAAACATTGCAGCGCCGTAAAGGGTTTAATTGCCTCAGCCTCAAACAATGAAAAATCAATCGAACCATCCTTCCCGTTAAATATATCTAATCATGGTCAATCTACCGAAGTCCACCTCAGCTACTTCACCCACAGCGTGATTGTAACGAGCGAACGGTATCTTTGAGTGGCGCGTAATACCAGAATCTCCGGAAGGTAAAACAAATTGGGAGCTGGGTTTCTGTACGGTACTATTATTGTAAGACATTCACAAATTATACAAAACTTGACAGCAGATACTTGTCCGAAAAAATGGTTCACTTGGAACACAAAAATACAAACGAAAGGAGTAAACAGGCTCCTGTGTAAGACCTTCACCCGCGCACAAAGTCGGGTACAAGTGGCCGGACGACCTCAAGGCCAAATGGGTGAAGTGGTAAGGACAAACAAACGTCAGTTCATATAAACACACTAAACACACAAATAGGGACAGAATGAACGTGGGAAATTTCAGTTGGCAACGTAATGGATGATACAATGACCTTAAAATTTTTCAAGTGAAACTTCCTCATTAAGGCTACGAGAACATGGGGGCATCTATCGAAAGGAAAGCTCGCAGCCATCTTTTTTGGTCGACTCAACTAATTTGACTGCCCTTCGTTCAACTGGACAAACAACAGTCGTGCACGCACTGCCGACCTGTACTACATAAATTTCCGCGTCACAGTACCAGAGCTATACCTACGTCAACATGTGAAGGGAGCAACAATGTCAACAAACCATCCTCCGAACATACTTTATTTGGTGCTGCTGCCAAGAGGATCAGATATGATTAGGCAGCATGTGATATCAATGAAGTTGCGTTAGTTATTCGCATTAGCTGCGTAGCACCACCTTTGCGGCGCGTGACAAAAATGCGAATAGCCATTAAGCTGTGACACCCTTTTGGTGCTTAACCGCTATAACACCAGAAGGAAGCACGAGGGCTGGGATACCGCCAGGTTGCTCAAGCCTAGACAGAGGAAGTCGAGATACAGAGGTCAGGTTCGAACCACGGACCATCTCGCCAACAAAGATGTGGTACGTTTAGAATTTTTCCTTCCATGAGATGATGGGGGCTGTAAACCTGGTGGTTTGAAAGTCGGAATCATTGGATGTTGGGATTTTGTAGGAGCACATGAACTGCCATACCCGGATCCAGTTGGATGCTTCTGCAGCCCCCATGGGTTAGAAAGCCTCCTTGGTTCTAATTCAAAATTCCTACGTCAATCAAATCGAGCGTGAAAACTTCCATAGTACTGGTGTAGGATACTACCGCAACATGGATATCCATAACAAATAGACCAAGTTTTTTGAACTTCCAGAATTTGAAGAGATATTAGAATTTGAGCAAAAAGCGCCTCTTGAACGTCAGTCAAATATTTTCGCCAGCACATTTCAAAGTTTGCTCTCCGTATTGCGAAGATGAGACCAACAGAGACAGGGCAACTCTCTTCTCATACCACTTTGGATCTATCCACTTTTCGGAGATTGAGACAGGCAATTCAGGATGATACTACGTTCGACGTCCGCGACATGATGGAGGGCTACTCGCTTCATGACATACTAATCGCCTAAACCCAACGGTATTAACACTGGTGTTTAAACAGTTAGTTAATGTTGTTATCAGGCCCTTGGTGAGATTATAAATTACCTCCTCGGGGCGCGGTAAAACTCTTCTGAGAATAGAAGACTGTGGTCATCAGCCAGAAATTTGAATCAAGAAGAGAGAATTTAGCAGTAAATAACCGACCGGTTGGCCCGACTTGAGTGCTTGGCAAAGTCACTGGTAAGTGTCGCCTGACGTTTCATCTAGAAGTAGGTGAAACGTCACAGAACATCTAGCACTGTTTCTGCCGGAATCTCTCTCATGTGAGGGTGCTGGGTGACCGTAAAGCTCACCAGGGTTGATGTGATATTCATAAGCTCAAGTAAGACGTTTAGCAAAGATCCCCACAGCTGACTGTTAAAAAACCAGTCTCCCCAAGGAATCTTTTGTGGTACATTCGGCTGGATCTCAGGTTTCTTTGTCAGTCGCAGTATTTCTGTAAGGAGACAAGGGGAATCATCTGCAAAGATCGGTCATCAGCGGCATCCATCAGAGTTACGTCCTGAGATCGGCGCCAATTTTGTTGATTTCATTGTTAGGCACAAGATCATTGATCAACTTTCTTAGCGTGCACAGACGTCACATTGCAGTGGAGGCCAGATGACGACCAGACCCACTGAAGAAGGACAGCTGCGGGCTTGATAGATCATTGTTAAACCAGAGAAATGAATGTTCATGTTTACAGAGAAGTAGATGTCAGAGCGTTTCACTCAATTGTGACTATACTTGGGATGCTCCAGTACGAGGAAAAGTTTCACACTTACCATCTCGAATAAACTCAAAGCACTGGGAATACGAACTGGGCTTGTGTGTCGACGCGAGCAAGCGTAGGGCCGTTCGACGATCATTCTCCGAATTAATACAGGCAGCATATGGGGACAGGCTTATACTTGCACTGAAGAACATTTGAACCGTATCTAACGTGTGCAGAAGGTGGTTACAAGTTTGATGGAGGTTAGAGGCAGCCTAGTCACACTTGTCACATTCTTCGTGGACGTACAAACACTGAAATACTAATAGACTTGCTGTCATTTAAAGGCGGGCTACAGAGAATGCATCGTTCTACGCTCCTTAGGTGGAGTGTTTGCAGGCTCTCATAGGCTGTTATTAGGGGTTGACAATGCTCAGATCTCGTCGCCTGCTTGGCCTGAAGGGTAAGAGGATATCAACACTTTTAAACACAAATCAGACGAACATGTGTGAGAGGGATGTGATGAAGAAACCGATCTTGGTGACGAGGCACTCCCTATTAATGTGGCGATGGGGCTCAAACGGAATGCCTACTTACCTCGGTTGAATACTTACAAAATTATGAAATAAAGCTAAAACGGAGCATGAAATTTGGCTGGCCTGAACGTGGATTCGGGGTGTGTACCAGGGTTGTTTCATCACAATTTTGGCCAGTTTATTCGTATTTCCGTGATTTCGCTCATGGTTAGAAGATCCACCATATTCGATGGTGGAGGTCCGATACATCAGTAGTACAGTGTTGAACAAATTACGCAGGGCAACCCACTCTTTATACGACTCTAATTAAGGTATATAGTCGTTGACTGACAATATTTGATTCAAAAGTTCGTCCTGAACTGTTGTTAATATTTTGGATGGACAAATATTTTGGGACTAGTGTAGCAGTTGATGATAAGTGATCTACCGCTGTCTAGCGGTAGATCACAGTTGAATTTAAGAGGCACTGGACATCCATGGTGAAGTTTCGTGAATTTTTATGCATTTTTGAGCTTGATTTTGTTCTACATTGTATCTCAGGTGTCGCCATTGATCGCATGGCTAATTAGGCACAGGAATTGTAAGTCACTAATAAAACCTGTCCTTTTAGTGAGAACAGTTGACTAATTTGTACTGCTTTGCCATGTGAAACGTTTGATGGTCTCAGTAACCAACCGGTTGAATGGATTCATATGAAACTTGAATGAGAACTTTGTAGAAACACGACACACTGTGGATGGTCCAATCATGGAGCAGAGCATGACGAACCATAATTGCCGTGCCAGAGTGCTCGGTGTTGGCAATAGTGCAGAAAATCTCATGCGGTGCTTACGGTCTGTCTATTTGTGCATGTTTTGCACAATTGGGATAGTATGCACTTCGTTTTCTGTTTCCAAAAGCCCTTATTCGACTGAAGGTAGGTCAGCTAAGCTTTGTGTGCCACCCCTTGAATGACGGTTTGGTGACTACCATTTCCTTCATGTTTGTACTTTAAATGGACTCGCACATCCAATGATAACGGTTACTAATCACTCTTCTGTCCACCATGAGCCATTGTCCTACATAAACTGCTTCTCACATCAGGGAAGTTCAAATAAGTTGCTTTTTAACGATAAAAAGTCGATAAAGTTCAGCTATCCGAATGCATATTGTACGAACCCTGGAATGGACCCGAAGATCCCGCTGAAATTGATCGATAATACACGTGATATTATGTTCTACTTCAAAAGAATTCTGAGGCGTGCCAAATTACTTTAGCTGTGTTCCTATATAGATCTTTCTTAATTAAGGAAATAGGATCAGTAGGAATTGGGTTCCATTATTGTTACTCCCCCTCCTGTATTAAATCTAATAATAATAGTCCCTCTTACACCTTTGGTGGTTTTCAGCATCCACAATTAAACTAAATTCGTTTATTGATGCCTCTGATTCAAACTTGAATATGGTGAGCAAACGGTGGAAATAGGTGTAATATTGAAACTCATTTTATGATACAAACCTGTTACGAGTGGTCAGGATTGTCTCTTCTATCATGTACTCAAAAACAACAAATGATGGTTGTTGGTTTGTTCGCTGAGCTGGGCAGTTTGATTGTAAACGTCCCATCAACACAGGAGGAGACATCATCAGTGCGTTGTTAGGGAACGTGGTGGAGCGTAGCAATGGGTTAGTGTTTGTGCTACCACAATTCTCCTCTATAGCAAACAACAAATGATGTGGTCTAGCCTAATTCACCAAAACTGGTGCATAAATTCACCTTTCGAAGTGAAAGTGGAATAACGCGACCCATTTGTAAGAGTGGATAAACATTAGCTGTGTTTCTAGTATAGTCGACGTTTAATATTCGCACATACCACATACATACTAGTTCACTGTAATGATTTTTATTGCAAAGAAATTAAGAGAGCAGTTAAACATATCTACAACAGTATTCTTTTGTAGCCATCAATGGAGTTCAGGCTAATTTGAAGCTATGAGAAACACTGAGCCAATTCCCAGTGGCAACCTGATACTCATCAACAAGGTCGGCATTTAACAGAGGTCCCACAGACAAAGAACACTTTTCAGTTCTTCCGAGTTTTACTACACAAGCATATTGTAGCCGTTTCGGTAAATATTGGTATTCGGGAAGTGAGACGACTGCACTTTGGCTCCAGCAAGAATGATTTCTAATTGCGCCTAGACTAGAGATATATCTTTCAACGGTGACTTTTCACCACATCAGTCCAGTATTCAGTTACTGTTATTGAGAGCGCGAAACAGACTAAGCGGAGTTCAAAGAAGGAGGGACTACGTTACTGGGTGGTATTGATAACCTCGGTTTACAATGCAGTCGATAGCTTATAGCTTGTGAGGAAATGAAATCTACGCAATGTTACTTGAGTTCTTCTTTGGGAAACTACACTTGAGGTGTTGTCCAACGACTCATCTTTAAATTTTTGCGCACTGCGCACTGATGATGTCTCCTCGTATGGTGACGAAACGTTTGCAAGCCAATTGCCAAGCTCGATGAACAGATCAACAACCACCTGATCAACAACCAAGAATTTTTGCTATATATATTGATTTTATTGTAGTTCCTAAAACACAAGTAGTCCAAATACCGCCTTGATGAAATGGTGACTTTTCAACAATTGACTTTGGTGCAAACGAAAGTAATCTGTCTGCTAGATAAGATGGCTCACAAATGCTACTTAGTTGAGAAGAGAATAAAACAGTAACAAGACGGTAACCTGCCATTTCCGGTAGAACGACACATGTAGTTCTTTCTACAGTAGTTTGAACCTCAATCTACGAAACAAACACAGTTTGCCGTACCAGTTGAGTTGAGTTAAATTAAATCAACTCGTGTTGACTTTTCCGATAGTTTGCGCTGTCCACATGCAGTTTCACGCGATTCAGGCTTGTGCTTGCTCAGCCACCGGAGGCCGTAAAGGAACCATTGGTTTATCGATTAGAATTAGACATTCGTTTTGCTTGAGTTTTGCGGTTAATTCTACTCAGGTCCAATGTTTACTTCACTGATGTTGACACAGCTGGAGCGTGCTTCGATAATTGCCTGTTGAAAAAGTCCCAACTCAATGTTCTTCCGTTTCGCTGTTCGGAGCAAGAAATGCAAAAATATTGTGCGCTTTATCCCGTAACAACCAAAGTTTCCATACTGTAAACTTGGTGATCCGTTGCTTGTGGTGAAAGCCTCTTGGGATATGCAAGAAACCTCCCTCAATGAGGATATTTCTTCGGCATGTGTATTTTGTGTTGCTTTGGATGACATCCGAAGTTGTTTTTAATACTTCCTTCAGGGTTTAGAGTGATTTTATATCGTCTAATGCAGGTCGGAGAGAGGACCTCTCTTAAATTTATTATGATGAAGGCGAGATGACCCAAGTGGTTAGAGCACGAATTTACTGACCGGAAGGTTCGTGGTTCGAACCCACCTTCCGCCCCTCGACTTCCCCTGTCTAGGCTTTGGCGACCTGTTAGTACCCCAGCCCTCATGCTTCCTTCGAGTGGCGTAGCAACTGTGCACCGAAACGGTGTTACAGCTGAATGGTTTTTGGTTTTAATTTATCGGGATAATTCACGTGTTTATATTGAACGACCTGAGCAAAAATGCTCAAAAAAACGAGTGCCAAATATGTGCCTAAAAATCGCACGCTTTTTGAAATACAGCATTCATGGTCGTGAAACTCAACACTTGGAGGATGAGCGGATTTGAATTTCTCTGAGTTTGGAACTATAGGTATTAAGTTCAACGAAATTGTTACTTATGCTATTGTAGAAACGGAGCAGGGCAAGGGGAGTGAGAATCATCGTAAGACACTGATGAAGCTGCTGCGGCACCAAACTCTACTTGTGTATGATAGACATAGATCTATACCAGTTTCGCCAAACAAGCTTCGAGTGAAATTGGCGAGTTTACTGAACACAGACAAGAAATAAGCTATTTGGCTATATGTGGAGAGTTTTGTTTGGTATCTGTCCTTGTGCTGGTATATCAACAAATATGGAGCGATTTTAGTCATTACACACGACAAAGCAGGTGGTGGCAATAATGGCGTATTTTCATTAGGAAACGATTGAGGTTTCTGGGCGATAATTGAGCAACGATGGCCATGAAGGTTGCAGGCGACAGAAGCCAAGGTGGAGAATTATGTGATGGTGAATAAATTCATTCATTCAAACGAGTACACAGGAGTTGGACCTACGTGAACCATGGGGAATAACGTCGAATAAATAGAAACAGTCATAGGGCAGAAATAATCGGCAAGCCTTCACCACTGCGGAAACAGAGTACTTATCCTCTGTTATAGGTTGAATATGTCTCCATGCCAAGAAAGAGGAAGATTTTACCCAAACATGCTTGTCAAAATCTCTCCGTAAGAAGTCCTTCACGTTTGGAGAAAAGTGGAATGTCTGATGTTATTATCGGTAAGTAGGAGAGAAGGAGCTTACAAGGTGAGAAGATGTGACAATTTAAACAACCGATACAATCTAATGATGTCTAACATTGCTAAAAGAGGAAGGTCTCCTGTGATTAGCACAAATACCATTATTTATCTACATTCCGATTTTGTGCAATGATCCGTGTCATAGGTAACGGATGTGTATGAATGAATCGCCCATTTTATTAACAATGTAGTAACGCCTAAGGATACTTCGCATAATGGAAAACCACGCCAAAAGATCTGGCTAGTAAGTGACTTCGGTTTAAGTGCGCTTTTTTTTAGTACAATTATTAAGCATGAGTCTTTTTTCCTGTAAGCTTCAAACTTGGTTTCCGGTCCAAAATTGTACACCGGGAGTAAATCAGGTCTAGGGGCCTCGTTGTCTTTTGAACACAATAAGATAGGAAGCGAAATATTTATCCATTGAAGAGACGGACAGGTATATGATGACAATCGATGAACATATGTGGTGAGTACAATCGCATCGTAAGTTGCTCTCAGTTTTGGGCGGAACCCAGCTGAGAGTCCAGTCCTATTTTCACCATTTGGTCCACCATATAATACGCGATCGCTCGGTGTATCAATCAAGAATTACACTACCACGACTGTTCTTTTGTAATTGAATAGCTATTTCATGGACAAAAATTAGGCTTTTGTATGAGGCGCAGCTTGGTTCGGCCCCCTAGACGCACAGCTACAATGCAGATCAAAGCGGGCACGAGAATTATGATAGCTCTAGCTTGCCGAGGCTCAGACAGGAGCAGTCGAAAAGAGAGGACTGGGTTCGAACGATGGTCCTTTCGGTCAACGGTTTCACACCTCAACCGTATCATGAAAATATTTGCATAAGCAAAAAGTTACACAAGAGGGGAGCTTTATACGCAGAATTTCATCAGTCGTGGGCTTACTCGACCAAGAAATTTATTGTCGACCACCATCAATAAGTGATTTATTTTTTCCGAGACTTCGATTCTCTGTGGTATTGAAGAGTTTGGTTTTTGCCTTTTGTGGGTCCACAACCACCGAATTAACTGGAAGTTTCATCCATAAAGGGCACAAGCGAACCTAAATCACAATCCAGGCGGCAAACCATCCTTGTGTCCCGGTTTTCAAATTTCCTATTATGGTAATATGCCAAACTTCCTGTAGCTTGAACAGATACTGGAAAAACAAACATTATCAGCAAGTTGTAAACGTAACAATCCGGTCTCCAGCCCAACAAAAATCTACAGTACCAATAAAAACGAAAAAGCACGTAATCTATTTACACGCTGGACTGGCCGTCTTCCTCAACTTAACTGTCACACAATACCCTACAAGTAGACTCCCACACACAACGGTCAGCGTCACACGCAAGTTGTGATGGACTGCATCCGAACCTACCTGAACCTTACCTAAGAGATGTGAACCTGATGAAACAAAGCCGGACAGCGTAGAGGAAGGAAAAACCATCAGCACGTTCAGCTGC